TGTTTTAGCTAATTCCTTGAAGTTAGGCACAGTGTTTTATTTATTTCTATATTTTTCATGGAGCTTAGGCATTCGAAACTATTTTAAATGATTGAGAAGCACATGGAAAGAGACTTGGTACCATTTTAAATATATACTTAATTTATGGATCAGGGATTTCACTAATGAACACGAAAAAACAATATGGTTAGTTTATGAATATCGAAAACAAAGGAGTATCCATAAATGCATAGATAGGGTGTATCTTGCAGGAATACAGTCCTTAGAATTAACAGCTAAGTATAATTTAAGTATATTTTTAAACTTAATTGTAGCAAACCCTAGTTACTGACTGCAGCCTCAGTCCTTATTGTGAGACTTTTAGTAGTTGTTTAAATTACCTGGATGGTCATAACCTATACTTAAGTCAGCTAACATCGGCTTCTCTTCCCTAAATATGGAGCTTCCTTCTTAAAATCCATTGATGAGCCCAGCTAATATTGCCATTTGCTTTCTATGGTTTGAGAATATGTTGTAGAAGATAAGTAATTATGAAGGCATCAGTTAAAAATGATGAGTAATGAATATCTCTAGTCATTTAGAAAATACTTGTGATCTTGTCTTGTGAATTCTTTACTAACTAGAAAATCCTTCTCTGATTTTAACTTAAATATAAGGAGGAAATTTTATCTTCATAATGGGCCATGATGTATTTTATTACAATGATACATAGATTTATACATCACACCTGTAAATGTATCACTTTTTTGGTTCTTAATGACTTTTGGCTCTTTTTGTTCCTAATTACTTTATGTTAACATGTTTATAGCTTATATTATTAAAATTCATAGCTTTTTGGGGGAAACTGTCATAAAATAGCCACTTAAGTTTGTGTGTGTGTGTGTATGCATTCTGGCAGTCAGAATTTCTTGTTTTCTGTTTACGTTTGCAAATGAATTTATGATTTACCTTCTGTGTCTAATTTAGAAAAAAAATTAGCCAATTCTGTATTTAGTAGAAATTGAGGTCAATATACAGTACAACTATAGGATGTGTTTTTTATATTATAATTTTGAAGAGGAAAGCACCTGACTTAGAATGGTGAATTAAAAATTATTATAATCTGTACAACCATACCTATTCTAGAATAGCCTCAAGTACTTTGTAACTAAAATGTTTGCTCAGAAAACTTAAGAATTTTTCATTGACAGTGTTCAGCATGGATTTGAGGTTTCAGAAATGCTAGTTTCTAATCCTAATATCTAATAGTAATAGTTAATTATCACCTCGTTTTAAAACAATAGTGGTATCTCTCAAATGAAAGCATTATCTTGTCAAGCTTTATTCCTGAATGGTTTACATTTATTTTAGAAAGTCAGTCCACTTTAAAAATGAAAGTTTGGCACCACTGAAAGTAACTGAAAAGAATGTATTGCTGTTTCATAAAGCAAATAGGAGTGTTGCTGCATCACTAGAACAAATTAATAATCTTCCAGGTAACCACCTGGTAAGAGAAAGATGTAACTTATGGGAAGACATATTTATGAATCTAATCTGGTATGTATGTGGGAAAAAAATTAACGAAAAGCCATATTCTGTAACCATAGTTGCTATATTTGTCATTTAATAATGAAGAGAGTAAGAAAATTCTCCCCTGATACAACATTGAATTAACTCTCCTTTTATAATACTTCTTCAAAGTATGATCATTATGAAATGAAAATGTGAAAAGACTTGGAGGAAATGAACCTCCATGAATTGGAGTAAAAATTTCTTTTCTTTTTTATTTAGCGTTTGTAAATGTACTATGCCGTCTCTAGCTGTGTGCCTTTCTGGCCTATTTCTGTTCTCATCCTGTCAACTTAGAAAAAAAATTAGTAAATTCTATGTTTATTAGAAATACATACTTTTATGGTTTTGACAGCTGAGAAGTACTGTACTATGTGACTAAAGATACACCAACAAAATGAATGTTTTAGCTTCATTAAATTATTTTTTAGCTGTGCTTAAGAAAAATTTTATTGGTATTTATTCTGTATGAAGATCTGATACTTTAAACTTAACCTGTAAAAATCAACATTTTTTGGTATAGCAGAAAAAAGAACTGAACTGTCAGTTCATTCCAAGAATGAAGAGGCAGATGCAGCTGGTCCAGAGGAGAGGGTCTAGTTGGTGCATAAAAAATTCATGTCAGCATTTTGACACTGCATTCTTCTGGGGTATCTGTTACCACTGAATAGGAAACTGTTTCAAATTGACAGGCAGACAGAATGTTGTGCTGAATGTGTAAATTGGAATTATCACATCTAGCAGTTCCCTTCACCAGGTGCTGGCTTGGAGCTTGGTTCTCCACTAATGTCGAGAGAGTGCCAGGAATAGTTTTATTTGGTAATTATCCTTCATCTCTTCCAATGTCTAGTTTTTTTTAGTAAACAGCTTGCCCAGGTGTTTTTAGGAATGCCTAGCAGGACAGTGTAAGACTGCAGGTGCTTAGGTGGCAAGAGTATGCCATACAGAACACTGAGAACACCTATATCCATCTGTGTGAAAAGGATGATTGCTTTCAAGGGTTTTATTCCCTAATGTCCTGAGGATGATACTTGTCAGTAGTTTGCTGGCTCAGAGATCCTGGTGAAGGCAGAAAATTCAAAGTTGGTGTTTTTAAGAAAACTGGAACGTTTTATTAGGTTTTATCTTTGAATCTCTTTAAAAACTTGATAATTTGCAACCTATGTGAATGAGCAGTGAAATTTCCCAAGACTGTAAAAATTGAAAGCAAATCAAGTCTTAATAAAGAAATAGTAAAGATTTTTTTTTGCTTCTTCAGTCTTTCTGGTTTTACTGAAAAGGTTTACTATAACATAAAGTTAAGATTTTTATTTTTCTGTCTTTTCTTTAAAAAGAAATTCACAATACTATGAATGAGAACAAAATTTAGGATTTTATGCTTTATAAATTTATATCACAAGATGTTACTAAGTACTGCTCAAATTAAAACAGTATTTGAGCAGGATGCTCTAATTGAAGCATTTATAACTTACTTTTCTTGAAATTTAATGAGTTGCATCACAGAATTACTTTAATTAGTTCTGTTAATCATTTTTTTTGGTCATAAATATATTTTTAAAAGAGTTTATGGTCTGCCTTTTGCCTATTCTATGGGCAGTGAATTTTCTTAGTAAATTTTCCATTATAGGTTGGATTTTCTGTTTCTGTTTTCTAATCATCTTTGCATTATGGCAAGATAAATGCTAAGTGCTCAAAATGAAGATGTTATGAAAATGTTTTATAGTTTCCCTTGGACTCTGAAAGTTGTCGTGGCATTTCTACAACCACTCAAATTTCAGGGATACTACTAAACCACAGGAATTATGCTGTCAGCTTTGATTTAGGATTAGGCATTGTAGTCATTTGTATTGACTTGGTCTCTGTTTTCTTTCACTGACATATCCTGTAGTGAAATTACATTTATACAAGCATCTCATGGGAAAGTCCGAAAGTATAATATACTAAAAGGCAGAAAGTTTTGGCGTAACAGCCAATAGTTCAAATTCTGACTCTTTTACTTAGCAGCTATGTGAACTTAAGTTATTTAATTTGGGTTTTCTTATTTATTATAAAATTGGGAAAATGCCTATATTTTAGAACTGTTGATGCTTAGAAATGAAATGTTTAAACATTTATTTATCAGTGATTGTTGAACATTTGCCATGTACCCAGACTATGCAGTGTGCTAGGTATGAGTATTGTCTTTAAGGAACTTAACAATAATGGTGGTTCCTTATGATACCTAAAGGGGAACCCAGAGAGAGCTGCATAGATGGCATACTCAGCTGAAACTCAAATAGCAGAGATACCTGAATGAGCAAGAGGTGACCAATTCAGAAGACTTCTCCTTAACTCCAGGAGAGGTTGTAGAGTGTGCAAAAATATTGCCACTAAGAAACGGGGTGAATTGCAAATAGGTCAGTGTGTGCAGAAAGTGAGGAGTGGCAAAAGATAGCTCTGGATGAAGGTGGAGCCAGACTACTCATGTGGAAGAGTTAGAACTTTATCATGTAGGTGAGAGATGATAATTGAAAAATTTCAAAGGTGATTATAGAGTTTTATTCTTGAAGTATTTCTTCAGGCTGGATGGGGTTGACTGTTGAAGGCAGTGAGAATATTGAACAAGTTCCTGTGGGACCAGGGAATTAACATAAACAATTGAAGTAGGCAGGATATAAAGAAATGATACAAAACTGGGTTGGGTATGGTGCCTCACGCCTGTAATCCCAGCACTTTGGGAGGCTAAGGCGGGTGGATCACGAGGTCAGGAGTTCAGGACCGGCTTGGCCAAATTGGTGAAACCCATCTCTACTAAAAATACAAAAGTTAGCCAGGCATAGTGGTGGGTGCCTATAATCCCAACTACTGGGAGGCTGAGGCAGAGCATTGCTTGAATCCAGGAGGCAGAGGTTGCAACGAGCCAAGATTGCGCCACTGCACTCCAGCCTGGGCAACAGAGTGAGACTCTGTCTCAAAAAAAAAAAAAAATGATACAAAACTGGAAAGTGCATGCTTGTCTAAAGCAGGCAGAAGTCCAGGTGCAGTGGCTCATGCCTATAATCCTAGCACTTTGGGAGACCGAGGTGGGAGGATCACTTGAGGCCAGGAGTTAAAGATCAGCCTGGGTAACGTAGACAAGACCTTGTGTCTACAGAAAATTTAAAAGTTAGCCAGGCATAGTGGCATGCACCCATGGTCCCAGCTACTCAGGAGGCTAAGGTGGGAGGATCACTTGAGCCTAGTAGTTCAAGGCTGTAGTGAGCCGTGATTGTGCCATTGCAGTTAGCCTGGGCCACACAGCAGCTAGACCCTTTCTCTAAAGAAGAAAGCCCCACAAAAAACAAAAACAAAAGTAAAACAAAATTTAGGCAGGTGCTATTCAGTTTCAGGTGATTATGTTATCCGTATTCTGATATTTTTTTTTACTTTTTCATTTTTTTTTTTTACTTGCCAGCAGGAAGTTTTGATACTTTTTCAATATGAGTATGTTGTCAATTGAGCTGAATTTTTTTCCCAAGAAAAGTCAGTCATTGGATTTGAATGTTATATACCCATATTTTGAAATATTGGCAGCTAATTCAAACAGAAACTGAGGGGGCAAATGAAATGTGCCTTTGAGCTGTATTCAACCTGTGGTCTGCCCATTTGTGCCCGTTTTCTTAAATAAGATTATTGGAGTAACCTGAGCAAGAAAGAATAAGAGACTGGAAAAAAAAATTGGGTGAGAGTAGATAAAAGGTATGAATTGTTGAAATTTCAGAAATCACATTCAGACTAGAAGTGAGGCAATTTGGAAAATCACTGATGAGGGAAAGGGTGATTTATTCAAGTTTGTTGGTGGTAAGGGACAAAAGCTAATGGATGTTTAGGGATAAAGTGAACTGGACTTTATTCCAGGTGTCCAGGGGAAGTCATATTGCCCTGGCTAGTCCTTGTGGAGTTTGAAAGATGGTGTGGAAACTGGTCATATCTAGCACAGATCCATGATCTGAAGCAGCAGGTGTTTCTGGGACTTTGTTTACTTGCTTAGTTATTTGGCACATGGATTCCCTTTGTATCGACCTGCTCCTGCCTGATACCAACTCGCTGGTTCTTTCCTCAACTCGGCCTTTTAACTTTTCCCCCCATTGCAGTTTCGTTTTAGGATATCTGGTGTACTTCACCCAGTCTTGTGCCACCCTGTCAGCTGCAGCTGTTTCTCTAACTCTGGAATTGTTTCATGTTTCCCAGTTCAAATTCTTGAGAACAAGAGAAACGCATGGGCTGCTTCTTTGTGTATGAAGCCACAGCCTACACTGCTCTCAGGATCATGGACTGATTGCCCTTGAGTCAAAGAACCATGTTTTTTTCAATCAGCTGTTTCTGATTGCTGGTAGGATCTTCTGGTCAGGCTGGCTTTACCCCTTTAGTAGTGCCTATCAGCAGATCATTTGAGTTAGAATGAACTGAGCACCAGCAGAAATGGTGATTTATTAAATATATCTAGGTCTGGTGAGTGATGAATGTCAGGATTCAAGGTGGATCATGAATTCACCAAGATAAGAAATAACAATGTAAATGGCTTTGATGGCTAATTTGTGAGCCTAGTTTAATGAAGTTACTAGCATTAACAATACAGTGAATAATAGTAATATGCCGAAACTTAGCCACACTTACTTGTGGGGTATACTTAATTACAGAATTAAAAAAATATTTAGGGCCTTAATATTCCATGATTTATAACAAGCATTTAATGTGAGGCTTGCTTTGATCATTAAATAATAAACATGTTTAATCATTGAATAATAAACGTGAGTAAAGTTTGGGAAACTCTGTTATAGATACATATAGATAACTAGATTTTAGTATCTTATTTTGTACTTTTAATTTAAATCTAAAAACAAATGACTGCCCTTGTCAGTCCCTTACTGGATGTTAATCACTGTTACTAGGTGCTTTTTATTCATTGTCCTGGATAATGCCTCCAACAGTTCTGTGAAGTTTATGTTGTTTTGTTACTTTTGTATTGGAGGAAATTTATGCACAATTAGGTGATTTAGGCAGGGTTAACTCAATAATGTAGTGATGAGGTTCATTCATTTCCTGATACATCTGGCACAGCAGAATTCATGATGCTTTATATTTACATAATAATGAAAATCCATTTGTATTTTTAGATTTGGGATATTTCTAGATGTATGTAGTGTGGTATCTGGTTTAATCATGCATAATTTTAGCATGCATATATATGTAAAAAGGAAATGACTTTAAAGGTTTATAAATGTGTAAGCACTGTTTACACTTGAGCTAGGTCTACTGCAGAGAGCTGACTGAGAAAGTGGAAGATGTTCTGTTCAACATATGCTTTTGTCTCTGGTGCCAGACAGCTTACTTAACTATTATAATTGCATTGACTAGATATTTTGGCATTGTGTAGACACCTCAGTAGAAAAAAAGCCTTTATCAGTCCACAGATGGTTCTTTTTGGTGGCAACTTTCATATACCAGCTTCTTCTCTCAAATCAACACCCATTGACAGCTTCTATATACAGAGGATTCTGTTCCTGATCCATAAATATGTAATTTGAATATAGCACTATTTTTATTCTAAATTTCTGGGTTCTTGGTATATGACAATATTAAATAAATTATTGGATACATGAAGAAATTTTAAAAAATCTATTTTGTGGCACTTTTGGAGAGATATCATTGGCTTATATATACCATTAATATAACCATCTGGGAATTTTATTTATACAGCAGTTAATCTTCTTTATGCTTTATTGCTATCAACCAAATCTTTATTTTTATATTGATATTTTAGAATGGCCCTTGAAAATGTATCGGAATATATTTTATCTCAAATGTGAAATTAAAATTCATGGTTAGTTGGGATTAGGGAAATAGGAAAACTTAAAAATGACTACATTGGAAGTCATTAATAAGAAAACTTAAAAATGACTACAGTGGAGATAAAACAAGACATCAGGGGGGATAACAGTTAAATATTATATAATCTCCAGAACGCTGAGGTGTAAGCAGTTAGTTCTGGTCACTGAAAGTCAGTATTATTCTTTTGGGGATACTGGCAGTGTTGATTTAGATTGAGGCTACATATATAAAATTTGAAATTCTATAAATGACATGTCAAAATGTGGAAAGCCAGACCCAATAACACATAGGGCACAGAATGAATAACTGAGCCTATAGTACTACTATTGATTTGATTTATGCATGAAGTCATTTGTTATTTCATTCAGTAAATGCTATGTTTATGCAATATTTACTAAATACAACTTTTTTCGTAGCTGGTGGTATGAAGAACTGAAACCAAGGACAATGAATATCATTTTACTGTTCCTGTAAAATTCCTCTTAGGGCAAGAACAAAGATGGTATAAAAATGTTTAGAGCCAAGACTTAAGAGAATGTATTTCTTATTCCTATCTTTGCTGTCTTTCTAAACATGACACATCCTTACCTCTTTAGACATTCAGCTTCAACAGACTGCACAAGGTCAGTATTTGACTTGTTATTTCTTAAAGTATCAGAATTGGGATTGAATACTTACATCAAGGACTGTGAAAATTTAGCACACCATAAAAATGATACCAAGTATAAAGGTCCTGAAAAAAAATCACTTGCAAAATGTAAACACAAAAGACACGTGAAATAAAATGTAGACATATTTACCATTTTTCCCGGATATAAGATAAATGTGCTGTTTATAATTTAGAGGGCTTATTTTCTATTGGCTGTGATTTATTTCCAGTCTACTATGGAAATTTTTACGTGATGGTGTGTTAACATGCCGTTCTATAGTCGTATGACAGCTATCATAATTTATTTTTTCTACATATTGGACAGTGTTGACTGAGTAAATATAAGTTTGATATATACTTCTATGAAATTGTTTAGAATTTAAGTAATTATATTTGAACATTCAAATTATTTTGGTAATTAGAAACATTAAGAAGACGCTACTATTAAAGATTGAAAATAATGGACAGTTTAAGATGGCAAAGGAAAATTTTGTCACTAAGTTTTACATTTTAATAATTTGAGCATCAGATTTTTTAAAACATTTGCCACTTCAGTTCTGACATTTTGTATAAATATATTTATTTGAAAAGAAAGTGTTTAAATATTGTATCAATTCAGTGCTATTAATTTTATCTCATTGTGTAGTATTTTTTGAGTGTTGAATATTTGAATATTGTAGTGTGTATTGCTCTTCTACTTCTACATTAGAAATTCTTATATGAGTAAAATGACCATAGAATAAAACTTTTTTTCTTTTCTTTCTTTTTTTTTTTTTTTTTTGAGATGGCGTCTTGCTCTGTGGTCCAGGCTGGTGTGCAGTGGCGTGATCTCTGCTCACTGCAACCTCCGCCTCCTGGGCTTGACCAGTTCTTTCACCTCAGCCTCCTGAATAGCTGGGGCTACATGTGTGCACCACTGTGCCTGGCTAATTTTTGTATTTTTTGTAGAGACAGGGTCTTGCCATGTTGTCCAGGCTGGGCTCAAAATCTCAAAATCCTGAACTTGGCCTCCCAAAGTGCTGGGATTACAGGCATGTGCCACTGTGCTTGGCCCTGAAATAAAATTTTTAATGTTATTTAATTAATAATCATTATTTGTCATTTAGACTTTAATTTTTTATGAGACTTTTTAAATTTAAAGTATTTTTAAGGACTTTATTAAATTCCAAGCAAATTCAGACATCATAGAAAATTGGAAAGAAAATTAAAAATTATTAGAAATCCTTACTTCCAAAAACTAACATTTTCTTGGAATGTTTCATAAAAAACACTTAACTGGTTTTCTGTATTTTAAAGACTAAATAACAGGTGATTCCTTTGAAGTCTTTTTTTTTTTTTTTTTTAAAAAAAACTTTATTTTTATTTTATTTATTCACTTATTTATTTTTGTAGAAAACAGGATTTTTCTGTATTGCGCAAGCTTGTCTTGAATTCCTGGCCTCAGGTGATCCTCCTGCCTTTGCCTCCCAAAGTGCTGGGATTCTAAGAGAATGAGCTACTGCACCTGGCCTCAAGTCTTTTTAAGTGCACATTAAAGTCTTAAATATGCACTATCTCTAGCAAATTTTATAATCATATAATGTATGAGTTCAGTCGCTTAGATCTCTGTTCATTGGAAACATACCCCATGACACAAAAAGTACTTTGAGGAAACAAAATTTTTAGAAATCCAAGATTTGGGATTTTTGTATTCTCTGAGTCTGCCTCTGGGTCTAATTAGTTTTCTCTGGTTCAAGTTCCCTTCTCTTAAAAATTAAGAAATTATTTTGGAAGGGGACCAACATCTATGCTGACTTTAAGCTGTGAAGTAAAGTATACTAGAGGAGAATGTTTGTTTTTAACTTTAAAATTTTCCTTGCCTTTAGTTTTCTTTTTATCCTTTATTGTTTTTTTGTTTTGTCTTATGAAACTACTTTCAGCATGTGATAGGTATCTACTAGAGGAGAATGTTTGCTTTTAACTTTAAAATTTTCCTTACCTTTAGTTTTCTTTTTATTCTTTATTGTTTTGCATTTTGTCTTATGAAACTACTTTCAGCATGTGATAGGTGATTGTTCTTAAGTATGCAGTTATGCAATTGTATAACTTTGGCTTATTTTGATAATTTTTTGTTGCATGTCCTTATTAATTTAGGATATGTGCGTATTTCACTGCCTTTTTTTTTTTTTTTTTTTTTTAGACGGGGTTTTTCTCTTTTCACCCAGGCTAGAGGGTAACGGTGCGATCTTGGCTCACTGTAACCTCCACCTCCTGGGTTCAAGTGATTCTCCTGCCTCAGCCTCCCAAGTAGCTGGGATTACAGGCGCCATCCACTACACTGGGCTAATTTTTGTATTTTTAGTAGAGACAGGGTTTCACCACTTGAGACCAGGCTGGTCTCCAACTCCTGACCTCAGGTGATCTGCCTACCTGGGCATCCCAAAGTGCTGGGATTCCAGGTGTGAGCCACTGCGCCCAGCCTCACTGACATTTTAATAGGATAATAAAGTAGCAAAGTATTTTATCATAGCTAGTTTTACAGAGGTTTTAATGATTTCAGTAACATTAAGTCAGTTTAAGAAATTCATCTAGCACTTGATGAGAGATGTCAGAGTGTCATGGCTCATTCTGTATGTTCCATATGTTTGACTAAAGATGTTACTGTGCAATGTTGTACTAAGAGAAATTTATATTTTATTGATTCTGTTAGTATTAATTCTGAAATGTCTTTTAACATTTAAGGCTGTTCTTTATCAATAAACACATGGACCAGGCATGGTGGCTCACGTCTATAATCCCAGCCGAGATTCGGAGGCTGAGGCAGGTGAATCACTTGAGGTTGGGAATTCAAGGCCAGCCTGGCCAACATGGAGAAACCCCATCTCTACTAAAAAATGCAAAAACTAGCCCCATGTGGTGGCGCGTGTCTGTTACCCAGCTAATTGAGAGGCTGAGGCAGGAGAATCACTTGAACCTGGGAGGTAGAGGCTGTAAGTGAGCTGAGACTGCACCACTGCACTCCAGACTGGGTAACAGAACAAGACTCCATCTCAAAAGAAAAAAAAAAAAAAAGAAAAAGAAAAAACCACACGAGTGTGCTTGGTTTAGTCCTTAAACAGTTTTCATTATGTGTTATTTTGTTATAGAAGAATTTAGAATTCACTTTTTTTAATTGCATCAGTGTGTTTTTTTTGTCATCATAGAATACAGCAGAAGGTACTTTATAATAAAAGAAATATTACATTTACTCTGGAATTTTGTTTCGCTGGCTGAAGTTTAAACTAGCAAAATTTGTAACTTAAGGGAAGAGAAATGGTAAAATGCCAGATTATAATGTGGACACCTAATATTATATTAGTTATTAAGGAATTTTAAAAAGAGAGAGACTAAGATGGATGAAACAAAACCTTCTTAAGTTTCGAAAACAGATAATTTTAAAGGGTAGATTGACATAATTGTTTTTACATTACGGGTAAATTTTCCAGAAAAAGAAACAAACAAAAAAATCACAACTGATTGATAATGAGCCAACCCCTTTTAATTTGTGGCCTATCAATTTTAGCCCCATCAACTCTGACAAATACTCTTTTCATTTTATGAAAATGAAAAATACTCTTTTCATTTAGCCGATAGTTCTGTATTGATATCTGATATTAAGATAACAAATAGATCTTGATTCAAGCTCGTCTTACATACGATCTCTTGACCTCGTGATCCACCCACCTTGGCCTCCCAAATTATTGGGATTACAGGTGTGAGCCACTGTGCCCGGCCAGCCTTATTATGTCTTAACAAGAGCAGGTACCATGTCTTTTGCTGCTACATATTCCCAGACCTCAGGAAAGTAAGTGCCAAGCACAACAACTAGTTTTTAATGAATTTGCTGAATAAATGAATTTCCCAGCAGATGACTATGTTAATAGAACATGAGTAAGCTCATTTTTTGTTGTTGCTGGATTTGTATTTTCTTTTTTTCTTTTTTTTTTTTTTTTTTTGAGACGGAGTTTCGCTCTTGTTACCCAGGCTGGAGTGCAATGGCGCGATCTCGGCTCACCGCAACCTCCACCTCCCGGGTTCAGGCAATTCTCCTGCCCCAGCCTCCTGAGTCGCTGGGATTACAGGCACACGCCACCATGCCCAGCTAATTTTTTGTATTTTTAGTAGAGACGGGGTTTTACCACTGTTGACCAGGATGGTCTCGATCTCTTGACCTCGTGATCCACCCGCCTCAGCCTCCCAAAGTGCTGGGATTACAGGCTTGAGCCACCGCGCCCGGCTTGGGTTTGTATTTTCTAAACGCTAGGGAAAGAAGAGTAACATTTTTTTTTTTTTTGTAGTACTTTTATTCTTTTACCAAGCAAGTTCACCTATCACTTTTGCGTCTACCAGTGTCTCCTATGCAATGAAAAGTGTGTGATACAGAGGAGATAATAACTGTTGAAGGAGTGGATAAGTGAATGATTGCTATTCTATTCACTCTATTGTAAAAAAGAAAAGCTTTTTCAAAACCAAAATGTGTTTTGAGAAAACAATTCCCCATAAAACCAAATACGTAAGTGTGATACTGGTTTCTAAGTACTAAGTCACGAAGAAAAATGAACAAACATTGGAAGGCTGAGAATATGATTTTTGGCATTGTGTTTATACTTTTTCAAGGGAATATTTTGTATAGACATTTTAAAGGCAAGGGTTTTAAAAATTTGTATGGGAGTTTAATGTGCAGTGAAGTTAGATGGTTTGTTTGTTATTAATAGCTGGGGCTAGCTGGTGTCAGACAGGAATTAGAAATCTCATTGTTTGGTTTCCAGGCTATTGATCTTTGCAGGATTGGTAGCCTTCTCACTTTGGACCTTGTCTTATATGAATTGAGGGTGGGCAACAGACAGCTCAGGTTGGTCTTCATTATTGCCTTGAAAGCTTTTGAGGCACCTAAACCACAACCATTGATGGGACTTGGTTGCTTGGTTATGGTGTTTCCCCATTGCCTCCTAAATATTGCATAATGTTGCCCAAGGAACCTCAGGCTTTATGATGAAAGGATCCTTTTTCAGAAACTGAAAAAAAGCTCCAAAATCCTGGTTGGCAATCCCTTTGCAACACTATCCTACCCCTCCTAATTTGAGAACTCTGCCTTAAATAGCAGTGGCTCCCTCCTGTGATTATTCTTAAGATTATTCTGAAAGTGGGTTGTAGTGAGCTGATGAAAAGATGGCAGATGATGGGAAACTTTAGGATCTTGCTGTTATTTAAATTTGATTTAGTATAAAGTGAGACTTACGTGTTTTAGGACTAATTAAGGGGTGAACCCACGAAACCAGGTATATCATATATTGAGAGCCAGCTACAGAATAAAAGAGCATGTTTTCTTACACTCAAAGATAGGTAGTTGATTTTTACACATTTAGCTGCAGAAAGAGATTAAAGTCAATACGTTTGACCCAAACTTACTGAATTATGTGTCACAGCACCCCAGACTCTTAATGATTCTTTAGTACGAAGAATTGAATTAATCTGAAGAGAGGCAGATATTTTATTTTTCACCAGTTTTAAGTGTTTATTGGAACATTAAATATAATTACAATTTTCTGATATTAAGTAGTAATCTATTGTGGAAGAAGAGCTAAAAATGCTGGAATTTAGTTTTTTTTATGGACACTAAAATTATGAAAACCATGTTAAATTTTTAGCATTTCAGGTATTTAAATTTTATACTTCATTATGGATATATTTAGCACTGATATGGGCCAACAAACATGGCAACAATCATAAGTGTTCCTAAGTAGTAAGTTTCAATATATTTCAAAGCTTAATTCTGTATATTTGTCTATTATAAGAGACTCAGCGTGAGCCTGAGAATTGTCAAGTGTGAAGTTTTCTTTGTAGGGGGAATTAAGTGCCAAGTCATGTGTCTGAAGTCAGCCATATCATTTGGCTAATACGTATATATTTAGTGAACACCTATTTCTGATTTAGAAAAAAATTGAATGTAATTTCTACAACATTGAGACCATGTCTGTAACAATCCTTCTCCCACCCCCAAATACCTGTTATTGACATGTGCAGAATATTGCACCAGAGAATGAATTGACCAACAGCATATTAAGGGTAAATTTTTTTTTTCTAAATAAGTGATTATTGCATTGTGTCTATTTAGTTTGATAGCCTAATTTATATCTGTTAATATGAAAGTTTTAATCACCATAAATATATTTACAGTGAAGCTGGAAAATGGGATTTTCCCACCTCCTTGGATTTGATTTCTCTATCTTACTTTATTTCTAAAAGTTATGAAGCCCGGCACAGTGGCTCCCACCTGTAATCCCAGCACTTTAGGAGCCCGAGGCGGGCAGATAACCAGAGGCCAGAAGTTCAAGACAAGCCTGGCCAACAGAGCGAAACCCCATCTCTACTAAAAAAAAAAAAATACAAAAATTAGCTAGGTGTGGTGGTGGGTCCCTGTAATCCCAGCTACTTGGGAGGCTGAGGAGAGAGAATCCCTTGAGCCTGCAATGTGAAGGCTGAAATGAGCCAGGATCACACCACCGCACTCCAGCCTGGGTGATAGAGCAAGACTGTCTCAAAAAGACCCCAAAAAACAAACATAAAAATACTTATGGCTCCCAGTACACCACTTTATAGGTAGCAGATTGTCTATATATATTGATGTCACTACCCTGTTTCTCTATTCACTCTAAACAAACAGGCTTTACTCTTGTAGAAATACTAAGTTAGCAAAAGTGCTCCATTGTTTTTCAGCTTTCTTCTACATTTCCAAAGCTGTAAACTAATTATTTTGCTTTTCTAAAATTTAATGTAGTTCTTACTATTGACAAAGCTAGTTGTGACATTGGCCAACATTTTCTTTATTGAGAGTGAGTGACAGCCATGTCTGAATCTCCAGTCAGACTCCTACTAATAAAAAGATAAACGTGAAATATTAGAACTGGAGGTATTTTAGCAGCTTTCACGACATTGAAGCTATTTTTGTCACTTTTATTTTCTGATATGGAATGTTCACATGAATTCTACTTTGAAGATAATTATTTAAGTTTTTAAAAAATGCCCTCTTCACTTAACCACCATACATGAGGAGCTACCTGTCCTAGAAAGAAAAATTGTCTCTAATTCTTAATTTAATTTTCTCCTTTTTCATTACTAGTTTTGAGCCAATGGTACATTTTTCCTGAGAGATATATAGGGAATGAAGTGGGCTTTGTTAGTAACTTTTGCTACATGCCCTGCAGACAAGGAGGACAGAGCTCCCAGGGAAACAATTCATCACCTTACATGGAAGCGGAGGAGAGGGCTTACATCACAGTTTTCCATGAAAACTTGATCATTTTAAGCAGCATTGAAAATTTTGTTGGAAATATTTTATTGAAAATGTTCTACATGATTGTGAAATTTAAAGAGAAAACAATTTATATCTTTTAAGTTAAGAAAGGTAAAAGTGACGGCAGTTTTGGAAGAAGGAAAGAATCGAGCATTTTTTGTCTGATTAAAATTTTTTGTGCCAACAGGCATAAAATAGGGATCTTATTTTCTCTATTAAATATATTAGGAAAAAAGGGCTAAAAGTGTTCTGGTAACTTACTGCCCAAGATCATATAACTGTTAAGTTGGTAGAGGTGAGATTAACATCCAGCCTTCCTTTCTCAAGTCCGTGGTTTATACTGTTAAGCCTTGTTGTTCTTAGCAGAACAGGAAAGAAATAACATTTCATGCTGTTTCCTTCTTTCTGTTTCTAAAACATGTTATACTTTTCCTTGCCTCTGGACCTCATTCCTTGGCTTGTCACATCACTGACTTTTTCACATCCTTTACGTTTTGTTTCCAATTAATGTCAATCCCATAGAGGCTTTTCATAACCATTACATGGAAAGCACCTTTAAATTACATCATGCTATTTATTTTCTTCTTAACATTCTTAGTGCCTGTGTAAATACTTTATTTTTATGTCTCTCCCACCATAAACTCTATAAGGATGGGACCTGTCATTTTCCTTTTTGTTCAAAGTTTTATTTCACAGAGTAGCACTTGGCATATATTAGTATAGTAGGTAGCTGTTGTTTCAGTGGTTGAATACAACTTTTTATATGTTCTTGTGTCCTTTTAAATACATAGAGATAAGTACTATTTCCTTGAAGAATGTTTAAAAGAATTACAATTTTACCGTCAGTTTTAAATTTGAGTTGTTATTGTGGAAGGCAAAAGTTATTTTAAAGAAACAAGTTATACATAAATTTCCCTGAAAATTACTGGAAATTCTTATTGAAATCGTGTTTTACTGAGATGATATTTGTAATCTTGTATCTTGCAGAATGCAAGATAATCTTTCATTATTTATACAGGATTCATTTCTGCAAACATATCTTCATGATTCAGTTATTAATTTTATTGTAAATCTTACCCCAAAGAAACTAATCTCTGATATTTGGGATGTGTGGGAATATTTTGGGGTGTGTGCATAAAATAGATACTTCATGGATCTTGACCATAACATACATAGGAATCTTAGGTGACTCTTAACAAACATAAAGCATGGATGAGCTCAGTACAGAATTTAAAAGTGGCAAATAAGTGCTTCATTACTAGAATATAAATTATCTGTGATTACAAATAAATCGTATAGTTATAAAAATTGCATTATGTTTCTAGACAAAATAATTTGGGACCTATGTTATTTAAAATAATGGTTACTTTAAAAACTGGGTAGTATAAAAAATCCTTACTAATGTTCTTAGTCATCTTACTGACTTTGGGTAATAAATTACTTTTATGGTGAGTGTTTGATTATACTAAAGTCTTAGGTTTTGAAATGTCTACTTTCCCAAAATTACAACCAAAAAACCCTGTATATAAAGTGCTTTGTTATATATTTTTGAAGAAGGTAGCATTGTTATTGAACTTCATGGCAAAAGAGGAGTGCTGTTTTGGGTGTCCATAAAAACAAATCAAACTTCTTCCCTGGAGTGTTCTGACTGCCGTTGCTATGTGCTCATGGGCCTGTGCCATGTGGCTCTTTTCAGATTTGTGTCAGAGAGTCAGAAGTTAGGAGGCAACTGTACTGATATATGAGAGAAAAAACAATATTGAAGCTGATGAATGAGTTGTATATTTCTGTACTTGAAAGTATTTAGTTAAATTACTGTGCAAAAGAATATGATTATCTGTAGGTTAATTCTTATCTACAAACTTGAGATTTTTTAAAAAGATCATTGTGAACTACTTTTGTTTACATGGAATTGCTAACACTAAGTACCTAAATGAAATAAAGTTATAAAGGAAAACCAAATACTTAATTGCAAAGTCAAGGATAAGTAATATGCAAAAAATGTTTAATTCATATTTGTTCTGTATTTGAGTGAATAATCAGGAGTTAATTTATCTATTTATGAAGAACTTAGATTTTATTTCATTTTCTGTTCTATTTTAGATTATTATCTCCTTATATCTTAAAATGACTCTACCTTACAGTGTTAGTTGTTCTTAAAACTTTGGTGCTTATAGACTCTTTAGAGAATCTGACAAAAGCTAGGCAACTCTCCCAAATAAATACATAGGCTAATATAGACACAAATTATTATGCCCATGTAATCCACTTAAAAAAAAGCTCCACTTTGGGTAGGGCTGTGTGTGTGTGTGTGTTAAAAATTACTTTTTCCTTTTACATTGAAGAGGTTTTATTGCTAATATTAATAATATTAATCCGTGCCATTGCTGTACGCTGGGCATTGTAGTAGGCAGTGCTAAGATTGTTGAAACAAAACTACCCCAAGTTCTTACCTTCATGGAACTTAGTTAAGATGTGGGGGAGACGTGCATTAACTGAATTACACGTATAATATGTTCTACAAAGGTGGTTGCTTTGTGCGGTGGCTGCCTTCATCTTTGTTCCCCTCCTTTTCCATTTATTCCTCATAGCTTGGCAAAGTGAACTTTGTGAAATACAAATTGGATCTCTTTCCCTATCAAAAACCCTCGGTGGCCTCAGTAGGTGCACAGCTCTAAGTAGCTTGGCCCTGGATCCTCTCTCCAGCTTGCTGTGGAGCCACCCTTTGGTAGGTTCTCCTGGCTTCAGCCATGCTGGTCTTATTTTAGTTCCTCTAAATGCCTCAATGTGTTTATATACCTATAGTTTCGTTGCTTAGGATCATTGTCTCCTCCTCTTCTTAGGATTACTTCTTTTTTAGAATGATACTTAATTTTTCCTATCTCAGAGAAGCTACCTGCCCAATTACAACACCCGTCTCCCCTACCACATTCATACCTAAACACTCATGTTAACTTTGCTTCTTTATTTTAGTACTCATTACCAGCTTGAATCTGTTTATCTATTTTACACCTTTTTGGGGGGAAAGGTCCCTGTTATTTGCACTAGAATGTTGGCTCCATCTGGGCAGGAATACTATTTTCGTTCTACTCAGCCACTCTCAAGTAGGGTACTCTCTGTATTTAGTAACTAAAGATGCATTGGAATGTGTAATGTGGATCTTCATACTGCATATAAAGTATGCAGGGGATTTGAAAGGATGTTATGAGAACAGTAGAATAAATATGTGGATTATCTCACTACAGTAGAGATAATATAAAGGAAATAGTTTAGAGAGATAATTGAAACATTGAAATCAGCCAGGCTTGGAGATGGGAGAAATGATGTCACTTATTCTTGGTTTCTGGCTTGTGCAACCGGGTTGAATGTTGATATTGTTGACTGAGATAGAAGAGGACCAAATCATTGTTAAGGTATAGTTATAAATCACTTGGGTCTTTTTTGAGGTCTTTTTTTTTTTTTTTTTTCAAAGTTTTCTTTTTAGCTATTTTCAAAGACTGTCAAGAATATAAACATTCAGACCTATTACCTGATCAAACACACTTAAAAAAAAAAAAGATTGGAAGACCCTTGCTACATTAAACTACAATATAAAGATACACAGATCTGTTTATTTTCTTAATGGACGCTGTAATCTTGCTCTTCCTTTCTTCAAGAAATCCACTTAATATTGGCCACCTGTTAGTATTAGATCACCATGAATAATGACTTCTAGCCATGGTAAACATAACTAAGTAGACACATAAAAACATCATGATAGGAAAGTACTAATATGTATGTATAGTTTGAATACTTTAGTCTCTTCACAATTTATAAATTATTCCAGGTTCTCACTGTTGTAAAAATGAAGGGTGAATGTCAGTCACATTGATCATCAAAACTATTAATTAAATGTATGTAAAAAAACAACATATAATTGTGTTTTTGTGACTTTGAATAATGCACATTATGTGTTCAGAGACATACTTTGTTTAGATAGACATGTTAAATATTTTAATTTTTTAGATTAAGTTGAGTCTTCATTGAGGTCAAGTGCAATTTTGAATTCCTTTGCATTCACTTAAGTGTTCAAATCTCTTTATGAGAACTTGTTAGCTATTTGATCTACATTGTAAAATATATTTAATGGCTGTGCATCTTAAACAGGAATGTGCTATGTATATATCATGCCAAAATTTAAAAAGTAGGAAATGTACATTTTCCTTATGAAACAATAACAAAAAATAACACTTATGAGATGTGTGTGGAAATAAAGACGTAGCTTGTTGCAATCAATTATTCAGGTTAAGTTGGTACATTTTAGTGTATGTATCTGCACATAAAACTTTTTACACATTTTCCTGAGAGTTTTTATAAAAGGAGAATAAAATTCATTATTTTATTACAATTTTTTGGTAATCTAACACTTGTTGAAATAGAAGATTTGCAAACAAAACAAAACACCTTTTATTTTCTCCTAATTATATAAATTGAAATGCTTGGATTGCTTAAGTTTTATTTCACAGATATATACCATGAGTCCAGATATCAAGGATGATCAGTGATCTTCTTTGATTTATGCGTTTAAATGCTGTAAAACCAAAACTAAATATTTCCTGTTGATTCTTTCTTAAAGCATTTTGATATGTAGGAACAGAATATGAGACTTAAGAAGATCACACTTAAAATTGCAAGGATCAGTTTTAAAATAAAACCAAGGTAGATATGGAAACTTTTATCTTAGTTTCACATCAAAACTTCACATTTTAGGTAATATCCATAATGATAATCTAGTTTTGGCATAGTTAAAAATGGTAGGCCTAGGAAGTTATTTTCAAGATACAGGAATATAAACTACATTTTAAGTTGTCAGAACAGCTAGTCCTAATGAAATTATTTTTTGCAGACAATCAAGCTTTTGTTTTTTATTGGTGTTAATACTGTTGAAATAAAAATGAATTTTACCTTATTTATTTACATGTTAGCATACTTAATCAAAAAACATTTATTTTTTATGGTTCTCTTTTTCTGCTTATGAAAATTGTAGTGTTTATAGTGGTTGGTATTATTTGTATAAAACTGCTTTTTGAAAACTTTGTACTTTTTACCTAGAGTTAGTAAATGTTAATCTTTCCCCTTTTTTTGAAGACAGTGTTTTTATTGTCTAGTGAAATGGTAAACATAGGTGACTACACTGTTGATGGAAGATGAAAAATAAACTATACTTTTCAGTTCACATATTTCAATAGGTATTACCTCATTTTTCATTGATTTTAAGTATTAATTTGTCACTAGACAAATTAATCTCTCTGATAACCAGAGAGATTAATCGAGTATTGTGTTGGTGCTGATTAGGCTTTCGTGTTTCATTTTGGCTGTTGAAATACTCACATATCAGACTAAGTAGGAGGAGGTATATGCCCTTGCAAATTATTTTAATTATTTTATATCATTATTTCTAAAAAGTCATTGCCAATGGTGGACACTTAGCTTACATATCCACATAGATATTTTTCTGGATTTTTAAGGAGTAGTATATAAACCATATAATCATGATTTTCCTATTGTAATGGCATTAATGTCTTTTAGTGTTCATCAGTATAAAGCTAAAAAGTTGGTCATATACAAAAGTAAGCACTTATAATTTCTTACTAGCTTATTTTTTTCAGCTATCTCAGCTTAAATAATGCTTAACTCTTTGAAGAACATGGATTAAAATGAGCAAATTTTTAGTATAAATTCAGTATACAGAGTATAGATTTAAATGAAAATGAAGTTAAAGCTAAAGTTTATTTTTAATTCAGGCTCTTGACATGTAAAGGCATTTTAAGCCACCTACATATTTCCAAGATGGTGTAGACCACCTGCTGTTAACATATTGTAAGGAAAATGAAGAGTTGTAAATGAGTTTGGGTGATTTCTCTGCTTTTAAATATAAATGAAACTGAATATCTTCTGTCCTATACTCTTAATAGTGAACTACGAGAGTATTCAAATCTTTGTGTGAAAGTAAAGGCTGTCATAAAGATTGCCATTAGCCTCTTTTATTTTTTTTTTTGCTATGTGAATACTTGTTAGCATTGGATAATTTGAATATAATTTAGTTATACAACTTATTTCTTTTTGTCTCTAAATGTGATACTTTGTAAATGTGCTTTGACAGTAAAGAGGTAATTCTGATTGAAATGTAGAAAACCCATTTTACTTGAACATTATAAATGATAGATCAGAGTGTAAGGCTAAGAATTACTGAAAATGGAGTAGCCCTTACAAGGTGTATATAACATCAGCCCAGCTAAGGTAATCAGAACACTTTTAGAACTGAAATTCCTTCCCATGAGACAAGAACTGATAAAGTTTGCTGATCATATTAGATGATGGGAGGCAGGAAATTATTTGAAAACTTGGATAGTATATTCTATGAATATTATCATAACATTTGAATAGAGAATGAGGATAATTAAGGTGTAATCACTTGATTTTTAGTCCCACCCCTCATGTGGAAATATCTAATTCTTACCAACGAACACATTCAAAGTACCCAAGTTGCTGAAAAGAATTTGTTTTATTTTAGTTAAGCATTAATAAAGTATTGAAACTTACTATTGACTCATACTCCTTCTGATGGTTGCATATCAAGATGAAAAATGTGCAGAGCCCTCTGATTATATGTATAGGTAAAAAAGATGGAGTAGTGATAAATACTGGTCAATAACTGTTTTAACTCCAGATTTCTATGTCATATTTAGGGATTTTTATCCTCAAAATGTGTAAAGAGTTTCTTAGATTTTTTCCCATTCATAAACTTTAAAATCTACAAAATAATGATTTATTTTGGATGGGTAGCTACTCCAACATGCCTTCTTCACATTCTTCCATAGCATTGAAAACTTGCCATTTGAGTTTGATAACTTTGGCTCCCTTTGGAAATAACTTAATTGTATGAAATTGTCATATTGTAGCTTTAAGCCCTTCTGAAGATCATAGGTCAAGCTAAAAATTAAAAGGAGCCTCATTGTATTGTGTCAGTTGTACCTTTTGGAGCATTGGTGGAATATTGATTAATCATTTTACCAATAAGTTTCAGATTAATTTGTATATTATATAAAATTTATTAAAAGTAGCAACCAACATCACATCAGAAGGAACTATGAAATTTTTGATTGTAGATACCTGCCGCTTTTCCTGTTAATGAAATTAGTTTCAAGTTAAATTGTTATTGAAACTTAAAACCAGGATTATGTTCTGGAGTTTTTCTGAAATGTTTCTCCACTTGCTGATCTGAATCCCTCCCTTCCTCCCTCCTCCCTCCCCCCCCCTTCCCCCCTTTCCTGCCTCCCCCCCCCCGGCCTTTGAGATTGAGTCTTGCTCTGTACCCCAGGCTACAGTACAGTGGCATCATCTCAGCTCACTGCAACCTGTGCCTCCCAGGTTCAAGCGATTCTTCTGCCTCAGCCTCCTGAGTAGCTGTGATTACAGGCGCAAGCCACCACTCCTGGCCAATTTTTGCATTTTTAGTAGAGATGGGGTCTCACCATGTTGACCAGGCTGGTCTTGAACTCTTGGCTTTAAATGATCCACCCGCCTCAGCCTCCTAAAGTGCTGGGATTACAGGCATGAGCCACCACGCCCTACCTTCTTTTTAAGTTATGCTTTGCTTATGTTACCAGAAGAAAAATGGCTGGGTTGCCTGTGTCTTAAACTGTTAATTCTATAGGCCACGCACTCTTTTTTCCTCAAATCTGTGCAGCAAGTGACCTTGTCAAACAAAAGTGTGGAATAATGGGAGGCAGCCCAGTGATGGTGGCTCATTTATAAGCAGCTGTTTGCTACTGTCAGAACAAAGGCAAATCAGAGTTGCATTCAAGGGATATGACAGAGTGAACAACTGCCGGCCCACTTCCCTAATATTACTTGTCTTCTGGTGTTGGGTTGAAAACTGAGTGGCTGGACTAGTTATTTGTATGGGTTTGGGATGAAAAATATATGGGAAAATTAAGATCTAGTTCTGTCATTTAACAAAATACAGAATTTAAGAAGCAAAATTTGATTAAAGAAGCTTTATAATGCTTTTGAGTGACAGAAGCATTATGAGTATGTTATGTTCTATTGGATTGTTAACAGCATTGTTGATTATAGGATTTTTGACTATGATATATTTGAATCTATTTAATATTGCCCCATGTTGTGACTAGATTCTTGATGTACTTGTATAAATTTGGAACAACAGTTAAGTCTTAGTCTTTAAAATACTGGTCGAGTATAGCACTCTTCTTATATGTCCATAATGGAAGAACACTTGCTTTTTGTTTATAGCTGGATATGGAGTCTGCCATTTTGTTATTGTTTTTGGAAGGGGCTTAGGGTTCATTGTGTGACTTAGGTGCTGTGAAATGGAGAGCATCACCTATATCTGGCATTTGCATTTTTGTAATATTACTTTGAAAATATTATGGAGAGAGACATTTTCTTCTACCCTGTTTCTCTAATGCACAGTTAATAGTATGTCCTTCACTTGAACCTTTTCCCCTGTAAATCAATTATTCATTTGCTATAGTAGTTCAACTTTTTAAAGTGCATAAAAGAGAATACTATATAAAAAGTGCTTGTAAAACATGTCTATTTCTTTAAGAGTCTAGAGCTTGAGACTTATGTTTTTGTTTTTCAATGAATGGCTAAGGTATTGTAAACAGTTGACATTTTACCAAAGTTATCATATTTGAGCCAATTTTTAGAATATTAAAGAGTTAAATAATCAGTGCTTTCCACATAGGACTTCATATAAAATAACTATATTAAAAATGTAAAGTTTTTGATGCCTGGTCAAAAGTGGAATTAAGGTGTATTTTATTATATGCTTTGAATGTGTTCTGAAATATTTTTGGAAGCAGATACTTGTAAGTTAATACCTTTTATTTATATTTATCAAAATTTTATATATAGTAATGAAATATTTAAGAATCCCAACATTTGTTTTTATAGTATACTTTACATTGTAGACTGTAGTATTTTAATTTCCTACAAACCTGTTAATAATATTAGGCAATGTGTGACCTTTTACACTCATTCATATGTGCTATAAAATTACTTTTTCTTTTGATTCTATTAAATCATTTCAGACCACTAGAGAAATCCCTGATTTGTACTTAACAGAGCCTTTCATGTATTAGCAAGAAGAGTTACCTGGCTATCAATAGGTACTTGTTTAACTTGAGTGACTTAAGTTAAAGATTTGTATAAATACGTTAGAAAGCACTTTCTGAAGCTAATACTCCAACACCCTAATTTGTGACTGGAGGGATCAGATTCAGACAAGACTTGATGTTTTCATTCTGTGTAAAGTAGTTATTTAGTGACAGAATCTGGGTAACTCAAATCTTCAGACTGGAGAAAAATTTTAAAGATTCCTTGACATTTATTGTTAGTCCTTAAACCTTTAGCTTTTACACAGCTAAATCTACTTGTGGAACTTCGGCTTCAAAAACTTTCATCCATAGTTTCCAAGTTGTGGACTGTGGTTGAGGTTTATCAACAACCTCAGTTTTCTAATTTAGCGGAATTCAAAGTAGACCAGATTCATTCCCTGAGCCAGGATTTTCTGAGTGCTCTATTTTTTTTCTTTTTTTGAGACGGTTTTCACTCAGTCACCAGGCTGGAGTGCAGTGGTGAAATCTTGGCTCCCTGCAACCTCCATCTCCTGGGTTCAAGGGATTCTCCTGCCTTAGCCTCCTGAGTAGCCAGAACTACATGTGCGTGCACCTACTCCCAGCTACTGTTTTTTTGTATTTTTTGTAGAGACGGTATTTCACCATGTTGACCAGGATGGTCTTCATCTCTTGACCTCGTGATCACCTGCCTCTTGCCTCCCAAAGTGCTAGGATTACACTCCTGCCCAATCGCTCATTCTACAATATTGAGTCTTAACTCTATTCCTGTCTCCCTGGCCATCTTTTTTAATAGTTTTATATTAAAGTGCCCATGAATGAACAACCTTTTGTTTTAATAGATATTCTCACTTCAGGGTGGCATAAAGTAGTAACTGTTTCTCAGGATCGACTTTTCCACTTAAGAGAATTTGTCTTCATCTCTGTGCATTAAAGTTTATTGCTGCAATTGACATGACTAAGGTGGCATAACATAGTGCTGTGAGCATACTCTAGAGCTAGAGTGAATAAGTGAATCATAGCTCTTCTATTCATGACCTTGGGCCACTTACCCTCTCTGTGCTTTGTTTTACTTATCTTTAAAATGAGGATTAAAATATTACTATTAGGAGGATTAAAGGAATTATAATACTATTCAGAAAGTACTCAGAATCTTGCTTGATATATATAGTCAGATGCTCCATCAGTGTTAAATAATGGAAAGATCCAGTAATTATTTCGGTATTTTAATGTGTGTGTAGTTGGAGTTCTGCAGATACTCCAAGAACAACGCAAAATCCTAGTTTGACCTAAATGAACCAGAAATATTTAATTATGTAGGCCGTATCACATTTATTTTTAGAGCCACATTTTACTGAAAGGAAACCTAGGAACAATACATGGTTTTTTGTTGTTGTTGTTGTTGCTGGTTGTGTGCTTTAAGAATCTTGTTTTGTTAAAAAATAAAAGCACTTGGTATTTTTGGGAAGGCAAATTACAGATAGACCTTAAAAGAAATATAGCTACTGCCATTTATAGGTAGTTATATGGATACCTTACCCTTAGCAGTTATTGAGTGTGACTTATCTGCTTAATAGCAATTAAATCCGTTTAAAATGTTTACCAGGTGTTAATCATAAGTCAGGCTTGACATAGGCAGTTTAATCTTATTTGAAAGAAAGACAAATCTCTGTAAATCATGTTTACAGATTAAAAAAAAAACTGTCTGGGAATGTTTACTATAAAAATCCATAATTTTCCATTTGTTTGCTATATTAGAATACTGTGCAGTTGTAATGAATAAGCATTTATAGTTTCTGCTCCTAAAAATTGGACTACAGTTTCAAGGGGGATGTTTTAGTCTCATTTGGTAAGCTTTCCAAGAGATTCAGGGAAGCCGAAGCTTTCCAAGTATGCAAATCTCTTATGTTCAAAGCACTTCCCTCAGGCACAAGAAGACTATTTCAGTGGCATGCTTTGCTCTTTTCTCTTAACATATCTAACATGAAGGAGTTTCTCATTAGGCATCCAGCTTACATACTTACTGTAGGATCCACATTATACATGCAGAGAAATTACCCATAATAAAGATCAGATATCTGTTTATTAATTGATTTGACATCCTTGTAATAATTTATTGGTAAATAAATATCTCTTAACTCATTGAATGTGGATGGAATTTGTATTTGGAAAATGTTTCAAAATATATGAAAATAGCAACCTGAAAAATTTAAGTTACTATGTTTACATTTTTGAAATTACATGTTTGGAAGGTATTTATGATGGTGGCAGCCTATCTATGTTTGAATAGATGTTGAAGAAATTATATGAGAATAATTGACAGAAAGTTTTATTTTTAATTTACTTTGTAATGTATTTCTTGGGTGAGTTCAAAAAATAGATTTCGGAAGATTTATTTATACTATCAATGCATGTTTTGAAATTATTCTGTTGTTTGAGTTGTAAATAATTAATGAAAAAGGCATTTTTGTGGCACTGAATCAATCTGTTTGTTTCAGTTTTTTTACCCTGGATTTCTTTTCATTTAATAATCTTCTTTTTACTGCAAAGGAGGACATTTATTCATTACTTTGCCCAAATAATACTAACACACTAGCAGACGGTCACTTTCCAACTGGTTTGTCTTCGGAAAAGAAATTAAAATATTATAGAGCCAGAGAGAGATGTTGTAATGAATGTGTCCCTTTCAAATTAACAGGTCATTCTTTTCAACTATTTTGTAACTGTAAAATAGCTCAATGTCACATAAAAGGCTAAAAGCTAGAGTAAATGGTATAATGGGAAATAAGAAATAAATACAGTATTATGGTTTATACTCTTTGCTTGAACACACTAGGAAGATTTCTTTTTTAAAAAGACATGAATGATATGCTGTGGTAGGATTTTGGGTTTCATTTTAATTAGTTCATATCAAAAGTTAGCATTTGTTTTAAAACATGTATCTTTTGAAAGAAGATGCCTCCCCCAAAACATTTAAAAGTACCTTGAATATATTCTTAAATATGTTAGCCTAGCAAACAATGAAATGAAAACAAAATATGAAAATAATGTATCTTCTTTCCCTTACTCCTTTGATGAATGATCTGTAACTCTGATAAAAAGATTAGTTTAGAGACTATTGAGTTGTTTTAATTCTAAGACCAGATTG